CCCACACTCTCGGCAGCTGCCTGCTGCCTCCACCCCCCCACCCCCAAGTCAGGTACTGGCCCCGGAAAAGCCATTTGGCAGACAGGAGGTGGGCCCCCCGTGTCAGGTCACATACTCCGCACTGGCTGGGCCGGCCCAGAGTAAGTGCCCCTCTCCTGGAAGCTCCCCCATCAGGTGGGGGTGAGACAGGAGAAGCCCCTTCAGTTCTTACTTTCCTGTGCACATTCTGGACCCCAGGGTGTTCGGGGGTGGAGTGGACCTGGGCACCTGCATGACACGGGGGACAAAGGGGCACCTCCCCAGGTGCCTGGGTGGCCAAGGAAAGGAGAAACTGCAGGAAAGTGGGAGCTCAGACCAGCATGGGACCAAGGTCTGGAGATGGAGGAGCAAAGAGACCGGGTCTGCGCACCCTCCCCAGGAGGCTGCTCACTCCGGGTCTTCCTTTTCTCCTCCTGATGTGCTTGTGAAGGCTGTAGCCCTTCCCAGCTCCCAGGTCATTGTGGAAGTCAGAGGGACCTGCACACGGTAGGGCTGCTGTGACGAGAAGGGGACAGTGAGGCAGCCACAAGTCTCCCGGGAGAGTCATGCTCCTCCCTGGAGCTGGGCCTGGGGGGCCCAGGAAGGAGAGCTACTGCACCACTGAGCAACTTGGAAACCCAAGTCCTTCCTACAATGTTCTGCAAAGGGGGCCGCGTGGGTCCCCTCCATAGGGATGGACGGAATGCTCAAGCTTCCCAATTAGCTTATGAGAAAACGGTGCTTAGAGTCTCCATGCTCCTTCTAGAAGCCGGTGTGGACAGCAAGGGGGGAGAGCCAGTGGGCTAGTGAACAGGTGGGTCAGATTCATCCTGTCCTGGAGAACGATCCCAGCGGGGCAGCTGGAGACCACAAGGACAAATCTGACTCCTGTGAAGGTCTCTCTGACACTGGAGGAAGCACCGGAGTGGTGGAGACTGGAGGCAGGGAGGGCAGCATGCAGCCCGTCTGGGAGAGAGAAGATAATGGCCTCAACTACAGGAGGCATGGGGGTAGAGAGCAGCGGAGGCACTGAGGTCTGCTGGAGGTACAGTGGATACTCTCAGGGGTCTGATCTGGCTCTGGAAGGTGACAGAAATAGAGAAGTCTAGTACTACCCCACATGTCTAGTTTGAGTTTGTGGAAAATGGTACCATTTGCTTCGGATGGAGGGACAGGAGCGAGGTTGGAGAAGCAGGTGCGGAGTTCCTCCAGTGCCTGCGCCCAGCACCGCGGCAGCACCCAGCACTGCGGCAGTGGCTGGAAGTGCTCTGTAAATGTTTGCTATGCTGTGGAGCAGCATCAGAGCTGGACAGAAAGACATGCAGACCAAGGAAAGCAGGAGACAAAGAGGTAGCGCCAAAACACCAGAGCAGCTAGAAGGGGCTCCAAGTACAAGCCAGACGGGCTGGGCCACAGGCAGGGGCCCAGGCTGCACAGCAAGTCAGTGGGAGGGACCCAGGTCTCCTGACCACCCCCACCTGGCCCTTTCTCTCCTAGGCCTGCTACCCAGCCCCCCACATGCAATAGCTCCCCACACTTTCTCCACTCTGGTTTCAAACAGAAAGCCCAAGCAGTTGCGAGATGAGAGCTGGGACTACCTGACAGCCACAAAGGAGGGAGGATTCCAGGACGACCCCCCCCCCCCCCCGCCAAGGCCCTGCAGATGGACCGGGGAAGGCCTCCTCCCCGGCACCCCCAACTCCTGTGGCCAGTTCAGAAGGGTTCCCTGGGGACTCGGGCTCCTGAAGAAACACCTCTGACAGTGACCCCGGAGACAGCCGCAGCCACAGCAGCAGCCGAGTGTAGAAAAGACCAAGCTCTGTGAGGTGACGAGATTCACCCCCACACCTGAGCCAGGAGTTCCAGTCCCCAGGTCTCATCCAAAAGCCAATAATAAGTGAGACCATTAAATGCTTCCTCCGTGAGAAGTGCAGATCTTGGCACCACATACACGATCTCTGCCGCCTCAGCCAGTCTAGGAAGTAGCCATTACGGTCATCCCTCCACAGCAGAGCAGACCGAGGCTCAGAGACAAGGGGTAACTTGCCCAAAGTGGCACAGCAAGTAAAGGAAGGAGCAGGCCTCATCCCCAAGCCTGACACCGGCAGAGCCCAGATGGCATGAGATTTCATGCTGTCGGAGTTTACCCAGGCCCAGCGATTTCTGACTCCCCCAGGGCAATTTGTATGGCCTCCCACCTTGTTTTTAGTGAGGTTTTGAAAACCAAGGGGGAATATCGGGATGGTCTCCAGGGATGTGACTGTAAAGAGTAAATCCCATTATTAACATCAGGCGTGGCTGTTACTCTGTTTTTATTAGGGGTTACAGAATTTTATTTTTACCAATTTTGGAATAAAAATAAACAAATCAGCATCAATTACCACCATCACTTCATAGAAGACAATATTTGAATGTACGGTTTGCAGGCAGGAATAAAAAGCGGTCTTCCTGACAAGTGCGCTCGGCATTCACCGCTGAAAATGGGTCTGTCCTGGGGACCGTTGACTCGTGAGCGCCGAGGCTCCAGAACTCTTCCACACTCCTACTGTTACTCTTTACTAAATAAGAATACCCTTAAGCAACATAATCCTAACTAAAATCCGTACCCATGGTGAAAAAAACACAAACAGTTTGCCTCTACCTAAACAGGCTTTTTTTTTCAGCCAGCTCCAGAAGACACCAGACACCTGGTCAAGTTCAGTCATGCCTGTGGCAAACGGAGTGGTGGCTCGGCCCCGTGGGAACGGCGGCTGTTTCCCCGCTGAGGCTGCAGCTCCCAGAGTTTCCAGAGGGATTATCTGGGCTCCTTTCCCGACACCCCTGTATTAACCACATTTTTAAATTTTATGTTGTTTTGGCATCGTGGGGACACCTAGCTGGCCAAGGGGAGCCTGCCCCTCCCAGAGCATGCTATTTCCTAGAGGCAATAAACTTGGACTTCATCTTTCATATGCGAACTGACCAATTCACCTCCTTTATCTGACTCTCCCAGGCCAAGCCAAGTTGCCCTAAATCACCCAGGGCCAGGCATCTGACAACTAGAGACTACCACCCCTGCAGGCCGGAGCCTCAGGGTCATCCCAACTAGCCAGTGCCAAGCAGTTTCCTCTCCCCAACCTTCCTTTCCCTTGGAAAACACAACGAAGGCTCTGATTTTCCCCTCACTCCTCTGTCTGCTGACCAAACCTCACGCTTCCCCGGGGCCCTGCATGGCAGGGCGTGTCCCCTCCACTTGGGAACTGTACATAATAAATTTCTTCAATGGCATTGGTCTCTGTGATTTGCCACTCAGTCGCTGCTATGGATTGAAATCCCAGGGCACTGCACGTTTGAACACAGCCCCCCCCCCCCACAAGGACACAGTGTGCCTGCAGCCTGTGCCCTGCACCGGGGCGATGCCCGGGGCACCGACAGTCCTGCCTTCCAGCCCCTGAGGGGCTTTGTCTTGAGTCACCACTGGATCTTCGACACAGAGAAAGCTCCTTAGGAGGCCTGAGCACCTACTCAGCGCTGAGGCCAGGCCCGGGGAGGCTGGCGGGGCGGGTGGCCCTCCTGCACCAGAGGGACAGAGAGCTCACAGGAAGGCCTCCCCCACCTGGGGGGAGGGGGCGGGCAGAGCGGGCTGGGCCCCCTGAGGAAAAGCAGAGTTTGCCACCCCAAAATATACCTTTTGGGATATTGATTATTTTAAGCTGGTTATTTTTAAGAGACAAAAACTCAGAAAGAGCCTTTTACTTCTCACTTACCTGCCTAAAGGAATTTAAATAGAAAACCTGCCTAAAGGGAGAGAGCCATCACCTCAGCGTAGTGCGAACTCGGTGGGAGACAGGGAGGAACCGGCCAAGTCCCTGCCCCCCCCCCCCCCGTTCTGGGTGGTCCGGAAAGAATTCAAGAATTTGTTCACCACACCTTTGCTCATTATCATCTGCCTGAGAATTGCCTACCTTCCCTTTAAAGTCCCAGACCCCGCCTCCCTCTCCTTAGTCCAAAATAGCATATAAGCCTCAACTGCCCAGTGTGTCCTGGGGTCCCATATTCTTAAGGATGCCCTGTGGGTACATATGTAATAAATTTGGTCAGTTTTTCTTTTTGATCTGTTTCATGTCAATTTCATCATTAGTCCAGCTGGAAGAACTGACAAGGGCAGAAGGGAAACCGTTTTTCCTCTTCTCTACCCCCAAAGCTACAACCACAGATCAAAATAGGAGAGAGAAGTAAGGGAAGTTCTGAGCCTGCACCCTCCTCCCAAACACACGCACAGACCCCTCTCCCAGCTTCACGTGAAACTCAGTTCTGCCCAGAACAAAGACATTTGCCTCGGTGCCCACCACGTTCATCCCAAACCTCCAGAACTATGTCCTGAGTTTACTGTGCCAGCGAACGGACAACTTCCCCAAGTCTTTGCTGCGTGAGTACTGCACTGGTCACCCTGAGAAAACGCAGGCGGAAGGAGCCTGGGGAAATCTGTCTGACGTGAACGATGACAAGGCCTTGGGAGGGGATGAGTGATGGGATGCAAGGACCTCACCCCGGCATAACCCCCAGTGAGGGGCCCCTGACCTGTCACCACAGTGTCGCCGTCAGTGGTACCTGGTAGTTGTGTCACCGAAGGAGACGGCATCAAAGGCTCCGGAGGGCCTGCTCTCCATTCCCGTTCTCCCCTCGCTCTACCCACATGTCAACAACACGTGAGGCTTTCCAAGGGCCCATCTGCTCTGCTGGGCTCAGCCTCCAGCCACTGGCCTCAGGCCCTCACTCTGGCTCTGCCGCACAGATGCCTTAGTGTGTGGGTACTTTTCCACGGGGCTCAGCTGCAGGGGAAGAGAGAGGCCCCAGGCCCGCCAATCCTGCCTGCAGGCCCAGCGGTGAAGACCCTACCACCCCCTGGGCTCTCAGTGGACAGAGAGGCCCCAGGCCCATGGAACTAGGACCCATCCAAGGGGAAGAAAAGACGCCTGGGGTTGGGGACAGGTTTAACTCACTCTGTTTTTCCTGGAGGATGCTGGACGTGCACGGCATGCTCCCTTCTCCTGCAGAGAAAGAAAGAAACGTGAGCAGACGCCCCACCACCGTTGGCCAGACACCGCCTCTGCCCCTCCATTCCACACCCTCGCTCCCCGAGCTGGGGGTGGGCAATGCGTCTCCCACCTTCTAATAACCTGTCCCATTCTGCCACACTTAGCTCTTTGTTGTTCTTTTTAAAATCCTCACTTTTTTTTCATTGCTTTTAGAGAGGAAGGGAGAGAGAGAAACATCAACTGGTTGTTCCCTCTACATGCCGAGACCAGGATTATACCTACCCTGACGGGGGATCAAACCCCAAACCTGGGTCTGTGTCCTGACCTGAAATCAAACCCGCGCAAGCTTTTGGTTTCAGGACGGCACTCCGACCAACTGAGCCACACCGGCCAGGACAAGCTCTTGGTTCTTCATGCCAGACAAAGCATAGCACCGTGACCCCACTGCCTGGGGAGGTGGGGACCGGCTGCCTTTCTCCTCGGCCTTCTCCGGCACCTCCTCCCTTCCCACCTCCAGGAAGCAGCTGCCTACCTGTGTTGTCCTCTGCACACTTGCTCTCCCCACAGCGGGCAGCACTGAACACCATAACCATGCAGACAACAGCCAGATCTCCATCTCTGGTCCCGCCCTCTCTTCTAAGTTTTTGATCCAAACCCCCCACTGCCTCCTGGGCATCCGCTCTGGACAATTCTAGGTAGCTCACTCTCCCCAGGCCCCCAGGAAGGGTCTGGAGCTGCCCTCTTCCCCAGGCCCCACCTGAATGAAGACACCACTCCCACGCCCCGCCCCACCCCTGCCTAGGAGATGGCCACAGCCCTTTCCCTCTTTTGCCCCCACGTGTGATCAGTCACAGGGTGCTGGGGGTCTGCCTCCTCTCTCCTCAACACCCCCTCCCTCTTCACAAGATACAGACTGCACAGTGGAAGGTACTTCTGTGTTGTTCACGGCCGTGTCCCGGGCCTAGAACAGTGCCTCCCAATATTTGTTGAGTGAATAAATGAGTGGAGCACATACACAGGGCCCAATACGCAGCGGCACACTGCGTATACACACGCACATACCCAGATACAGAACTGCGTCCTATCTCCCTGGAGTATCAGAATAGCTTCTTCCTCCTAATGGGAAGCTTTTTTCCTATAATTATGAAGTAGTATAAGCTTCGCATTGAAGATTTGGAAAACAGTAAGAAACATTAATAAGGAAAATCCCTTATAATGCCACCGCTGATCCCACTTTATGTCGTTCCTTCCGTCTTTTTTCCGTGGGCACTCTGGGGCCTGCTGAGATCATATCAGCTCTTCGCAGGCAGCAACCGTGTGTCATTTATGTTCTGCATTTCCAAAAAATAGATCAACAGCTGACTCATGGAAGGCATCGTATACAATGAAGAATCACAAAATACACATTTTGTACTCCAAGTCGAAGCATAAATGGTTCTCTAATAAAGTTGCAAAACCTTTAAAACATCATTCCAGTGGCTACATCATTTGCTATGGAGTGGCTACATCATGGCTGACTTTAAATTTTTTTTAATATATTTTATTTATTTTTAGAGAGAAAGGAAAGCAGGGAGAAAGAGGGGGAGAAGCATCAACTGGTTGCCTGGCATATGTGCCCCAACCAGGGACCTGGCCTGCAACCCAGGCATGTGCTCTGATCAGGAATCAAGCTGGTGACCTTTTGGTCTGCAGGACAGTGCCCAAGCCACTGGGCTACACAAGGCAGGGTTGCTGACTTTAAAATTATCCACTGGTGGAAAGTTTCTAAATTGCACCATTGTAATTACTGCTTCATTGAACATCTTTGTGGTTGGGGCTCTTTTTGCATTTTCTATTATTTCCTTAAAATACGTCCACAGAAGGAGAATTCCGCACCAAGGGACAGGAACCTTCAAGGCTTCCTGATGTTGCCTGATTGCTTCCTGTGAGGTATACCTTCTGATTTGCACACCCACCGCAGCAAATGATAAGTACAGTAATCTACAGATACTCACCTCCCTGGCATTTACTTTGGCCTGTTGAATTTCTCTGCTTCTGGCTTCCTCAGTTCAATCCTTCTACACCTAGCACTCCAGGGCAGCCCGGTCATTAAATTCTCAGCCTGACAAGCAAGCATCCCCGTGAAGTGGCCACACCCATGTCTCTGGATCTGCACTCACAGCACAGCCTGCCCACCTTTACCTGTTCTTCCTTCCACTCTCCTCTTTCGAATTCACTGTATCCTGCAGACTGGGCTCAGAACCAACCCTGGCACCCCCCCCCCTCATGAGGTTTTAATTCCTCTCCAGAAACCTCAATATTAAGGACCCCTGTCCTCAAAAGTCAGCTCTGGGTCCCAAGGGCCAGCACAGACTCAGGTTCAATGAAGGTCAGCTCCCTTCCCTCTCAGATGCCCGCCTGGTGCTCACCCCACCCAACTGAGAACCTCAGAAAGGGACCTAAGCCCAAACCTCTAGAAAGCTCCCTGTGTCCACAGTGAGGCTGGACTCTAAGGAGTGAAGGCCCCAGACGCCCCCCTCACGAGACCCCAGCCACTGGGAACTCGATCGGTCAGCAGCTCCGTCAGAGCCCCTCAAGGCCCGGCAGCCTGAAGGAGCCCCTTGGACCAGGAGTCCTGGCCTGGTCCCAGTGCACTGCATGTTTTGGGCCTTGAATATTCACACCTGCCCAGTGGAGGCTGAACTCTGCCACACATATGCAAGGCGACCAACTGATGTTTCTCTCTCTCTCTCTCCCTCCTTCCCCCTCTCTATAAAAACAAATAAAATCTTCCTGCCTCGTAACACCATCTCTTCTGAAGAATCTACAGATACCAGGTCGGGCCTCCCCAGCTTCCTCAGCAATTTTGAGTTTCCCTAAAACATGTAGGTGTCCGTGGCTTCTCCAAGGACCCCAGTTCTCCGAGGAAGGAGCCAGGAGGGAGTGCCCCTGTGAGGTCAGTGTGCAGGATTCACACGGCGGCATCTACACAGACAGAAGGGGCCACGTTAGAAAGCAGGCTGGGTGCTGGCCCAGGAGCTGGGCGCAGCGGTGCGAGCAGGCAAGGCCGTCTATGGCATGTGGGAGCTTCATGTCCCCCTGTGCTTCCACTGCTGGGTCCCTGCGATTTCACACCTGTGCAGAAGAGGCCCCTTCACAGGTAAGAAGACGGAGGCCCGGGAGGACAAAGTCACTTACCCACTATTTAGATCCAGCCCCTTGTGACCCCCCAACTCTGCCGAGAACGCTTCCCATGACCCCGCCTCTGCCCCTATTTGGTGCGGGTACGGAGCTTCCCAGAGCAAGGGCTCCCTGGGATGGCCCAGGAGGCTTGGGCCATGTTTCCTGAACTGGGGAGTCACGGAGGCAGATGAGGGGCCGAGGAGCGGGGGGTATGGGTGTGGAGACGGGGGTGCTTGCAAGGAGTGCCGGTGACATGCGTCCTGAGGCCGGGACTGGCCTGTGTTTCCTCAGCTCCGTCCCTGCTGCTGTGAAGCCTGGGCCAGGCATCCAGATGGCAGGGCTGCCCCCCCCTTGTTGAGGCCACCAACTGCGCAGGAAGGAACTTGCTGGCTGACAAGGTGAGTGTGGAGCCAGCACAGCAGGAAGCTGCCTCCCTGCCCGGCTTCAGCCCCAGCCCCAGCCCCAGCCCCAGCCGTGCTTCCAGCCTGAGCTTCCCTCCAGCTGCCAGCCAGCAATTGAGTGGAGTGAGGGAGTGAGCGGAGGAGTCAGCTAAGAACCGACTTTCTGATTAGCAGGCTCCCAGGACGAGGGTGATTAACCAAATGTGCAACTGGCTCAGCTACGGCCTAAATGAGACCCCACTTGATCTGGAACTTTCCAGGGCCTCTGGGCCCCACAGCCTCGCCTCAGCTGGGGCTTTCTTCACAGGCTGAAGCTGCCAGGGCAGCTACACAGAGAAGGCTGGGAATGGGGGCAGGGCCCTGGTCGCCTGCCCCAGGCTCAGCCCGCTAATCCTGCATGTCCCAAACTCCCACAGCCCTGTGCATCAGAGCCGCATCATCTCCTCTAGTGGTTTCCTGGGCGATTTCATGTTTCCTCTTCCCAATCCCCTTCCAATAATCGGAGCTACCCAAGAGGCGAAATGAGCAGCTAAGATCAGAAGCACTTTCACCAAACACCTGAAACAGGGGCATCTTCCTGCCCCCAAGGGCGGGCTGGGTGGCTGCTGGGGCAGCAATTCAGGAAGAAGAAACTGGGACTCCTCCCCTGATATACCAGGTACTCACATGCCTGGCAGGATGGGAGTAGTGGGACCCAGGATTTGCAGGCCTCCGGGAGCCCAGCCAGCCAGGCTCTGGCCCAGCCTGCTAGCTCAGTTCATGGAGTAAGGCTGATAAGGGAACACCCCCACTGCCCCCTGCTCAGACTGTTCCCCAAACACTGAGCCCCTGCTGAGTTGCAGGGTCAAGGGTCACCCTCCTCGCCCCTCACCCAGCCCATCACAACCCCCTCTACACTCATTCTCTGGCCCCTGCTATGATCTTCTACACTGGCTTCCAGAATAATCTTTCTAAAAACTGGCTTGGCCCTGACTGGTGTGATTCAGTGGGTTGGGCATCATTCTGCAAACTGAAAGGTCACTGGTTCAATTCCCAGTCAGGGCACATGCCTGGGTTGTGGGCCAGGTCCCCAGTTGGATGTTTCTCTCACACATCGATGTTTCTCTCCCTCTCTTTCTCCCTCCCTTCCCTTCTCTCTAAAAATAAATAAATAAAGTCTTTTTGAACATGAAAATAAAAAATGACTTGTCACTCCCCTGTTCGCACTGTCCCGTAGATCCCTAGGGGTGCTCCTGAGAAGAGCCCATCTCCTCTGCCTGACATCCAAGGCCTTCACCTTCAGCTTTCCCACTCTTCCTCTTCTCCCTGACCTCCCCACCCCTTTCACCAACACCCAGGCCAACACCTCGCACCCCAACTTCAGTCAAGATGAACTCTGTGTGGTTCCCCAAATTCTCCTGCCTTCTCGTCTCTCCCTCTCCATTGCTGTACCTGCTGCTCTCTCTGCCT